TCCGTGCGCCTTCGGTGTTTAGTCATGCCGGCCACATGACCACGGAGACGTCTTTGGACAGCGCTGGCTCTTCGGCTTTGTAATGGAGATGAGCACCGCCCCCTAGAGCCAAAAACAACTAGCACGTATGTGCAAGGGGAACCTTTACTTTTACTTAGGGATTATTCGAAATTACAATGGATCTCTCCAGAACTACTTATGATCAGTTGGGAAGTTCTGACAGATTCCCCAGCACATGATCTCATTTGGGCGACAGATGACCAATCTGTTTTTACGTCTGTTTCCAGAATCCCATAGTCACATGACTGCAATTGGGGGCATCTTTTGCTAGAAGTTTTCATTTACTTCTGGTTTCCAGCAAAAAAAAAGGGGGGGGGAGGCCCATGGACTTTATTTAATGACCTTAATGGGTTTATTTAATGACCTCAATGTTTGCTTAACAACTGCAGCAAAAAGGTCGTAAAATCAGTGAGGACCACATGGTAACCTGCTTAATGACCACGACCTAATAACCATAATTCTGGTATCAGTTATGGTCGTAAATCGAGGACTACCTGTATTTTAGAAGATTCAATAATATGAAAATATGAATGTTTTCTAAGCTTCATAGAGCTCTCTCAAACTCAAAAGAGGCCCCTGTTAATGTGACTACATCTGCTATCTGGGCTGTTGGTTCTAGTGGAGAAATATTTTCCTCCTTCAAAACACGGGGACCTTAATTTTTCTCGGAATGCATGGTTTGCTAATTGTACAGTAGCAGACAGGACAGCACTCCAGAGGGCTAACATCATTGCCCAGAGGATCACTGGTAGCCCTCTCCCCTCTTTGGAAGAGCTTTATAGCTCCCGCTGCCTTAAGAAAGTTCAAAACATTCTCAAAGATCCATCTCATCCTGGGCACCCTTTTTTTGAACTATAACCATCTGGCAGACGGCACAGGATAATAAAAACAAGGACAAATAGGCTGAAAAACAGCTTCTATCCCAGGGCAGTAACTCTGTTGAATTCTACTATATAGTGCAATATTAATGCAATATCAGGGGTTTTCAATTCAATTATATAGAATGCGAAGAATGTGTGTTTTTGTTTTATTTTTATAGTTTTCTTATGTATGATGTACACTGAAGATGGCATTTAATTTCATTGTACGATGTGCAATGACAATAAAGTAAACTAAACTAAACTAGATCTCACAAACAGATTTTAAATTGAGGATGCCTGCAAGCAAACGTTGCAACTGCTAAGATTCTATGCACGTGCAAAAATAATAGTTGACTCACTGGATTTTCCCAGTCTTCTGAGCCATAGTATGGTTGAAGATCAGTTGACTGATTTATCATGTACCAGGATGTGTGTCTTGTGGCAGGAATATTTTGTTAAGTGGTATATGTGACTCCATTGTTCAGGAATTATTTATTAAGCTATTGTTGATAACTAAACATAACACACCAACTTAGACTTAAGGAAATGATTTACTGAAAGGGATAGCTAAAAGCAAGCCTTTACATGTTTTCCATGTTTATCCCACATCAAATGGCAAAGTCAAGGAGTCCTTCACTTACGACATTTCTGTTGCTAAGGGAGACATTTAAGTGAATTTTGCAGCATTTTACGACCTTTCTTGCCACAGTTAAGTGAATCTCTGCTATTGTTAAGTTAGTAACAAGATTGTTAAAGTGAATCTGGCTTCCTCACTGACTTTGCTTGTCAGGAGGTCGCAAAAGGGGATCCCATGACCACAGGGCACTTCAGCCGTCATAAATGTGAGTCAATGGCCAAGCATCTGAATTTTGATCACATAACCGTGATGATGCAACAATTGTTAAGTGTGAAAAATGGTCATAAGTTTTTTTCAATGCCATTGTAACTTTGAATGGTCACTAAGTGAACTAAAAGTCCGTAGAGATTCTCAATCCAGGTCATGGATGTCCCAAAGATGCTTTTTTCAGGAGGCAACTGGACTTCCTCATTTTTTTCTTTGAAGATGTTTCGCTTCTCATCTAAGAAGCTTCTTCAGTTCTGACAGGATAGTGGGGAATGGGAAGATTTATATTCCTTCTTTAGACAGCTGATCTATTGCATCCTTTTAGAGAAGGGTGTCAAACTCAATTTCACCGAGGGCCGCATCAGGGCTGTGTTTGATCTCGGAGAGCCGGGGTGGGCGTGGCCAGCATGACATTACTCGTGTTGGTGGGGGGTGCCTGTGGGCGCCCAAGCGCTCTGCCAGCAAAAACGGGCTCCTGTGCTCCTTTTTTCACTGGCAGAGGCACCACTGGCCCATCCTTTGCTGTTTCCTGCGGGCCAGATCTAAGCACCCCACAGGCCAGATCTGGCACCCAGGCCTTGGGTTTGATGCCCCTGTTTTAGAGGGTCATTGAACCTCCAAATGCTTCAACAGAGGACTACCTGTAGAAGGTTGGGGGGTTTTCATGTCAGCAAACACAGAATCTAAGCCAAGTGTCTTCAAACTTGACAAGTTTAAGATTTGTGGATTTCAACTCCCAGAATTCCTGAGCTTACATGACCGGAGGAGGAATTTTGGGAGTTGAAATCCACAAGTCTTAAAACTGTCAAGTTTGAAGACCCCTGATCTAAACCTACACTAGAAATGTCTTGCCCAATGCTCAAATAGTGAAATAATTTCACAAAGGGCAATAAGAGTGACTTTAGTATAGTAGTTAAGGAGCTGGCTAGAAACCAGGAGACTGAATTCTAGTTTCCCCTTAAGCAGACTGGGTGACTTTGGGCCAGTCCCTCTTCTCAGCCCAACCCACCTCACAAGTTTGTTATTGTGAGGAACAAAGTATCAAAAGTGGCATAAAAAAGAATAAATAAACAAAATGTATTTGGCCTATTAACAGTGCCTGTTTTTGAGTATATGTGCTTGTTCAAGAAATCTACAACTTTGAGTGCTAAAAGTTTTATTTAGGTTTTTAAAATATCTATTATCAGACTTTTATCTCAGGTTTACTTACTCAGTTTGCCCTCCTCTGCAAAACCCAGAAACCATCACAATATTTCCACAGAAAGTTAATGGCAAAGGATACAAAAGGGGACAACATCAGTAATCCCAAAACGCATAAAACCAACAGGTAATTGAGTGGTTTATGGTTAATATGGGAGTGTAGCCGGATTGTACCCTCGTGTGAGTTAAATCTTTTTTTTTTAAAAAAAAATGTCTTTATCCAGCTAGTTTTGGTTGCTAGGGGAGGAAAGTTGGAAAGTTTTAAAAGGTGGCTTTTCCATCAGGAGCGCCGCTTGGTACCTAAAGCGCCAAGGCACTGCTTGGAAGAAGGAGAGAGAGAGAGACGGAGGGCAGGCTGTATGTGTGGTGCGTGTCCCGGTCACGTCTGTTTCCTCCGGCCTCTCTTCCTCCTCCCCGCCAGGGAATGAGAGCAACGTGCATGACGTGATGTCAAGCCGGCTTGTGGCAAAGTCCCGCGGCTCGGAAAGCCTCGTCTTCGAATGGGAAGCGTGTGGGATATGCTCTCCTCCTTCGGCCAAAAACTTCTGGAGCTTTGGACCCGAGGCGGCAGGATTTTTTTGGGGGGGGGGGGATTTCCATTTTCTGCCCTCTTTTCCCTTGAATCAATCATCTCCAGATGGAGGGCAGGAGATTATACACACACATACACACCGCGCTCTACATCAGGCAGACCAGCTGCCCACAGTCCCTTTGCGCCGAGGCGCCTCTGGATCCAAACGCAGCTGTTCCCCCCCCAACCCGGTGTGAGCCTGTGGCCTGCTGTTGCCTTCCTCCCATGGCAAGAAAAGGCTCTTTGGGCAGCAAAGTTATTTATTTATTTATTTATTTTTGCTATACCAAGGAAAGCCCTTGCGCAGAATAAACGTTAAAACCATAGAACAAATGTTTTGGTTTTTTTGTTTTGTTTTGTTTTAGGGTCTCCTGATCGAGCAGGGGGGTTGGACTAGAAGACCTCAAAGGTCCCTTCAGTTCCAACCCTATGATTCTATGTTCCTTCGCGCCCCAGGTTCTCGTTGCTTTGTGCGGATCGCGCCCTCTTCCCCTGGCATGGCTGCGTCCTCTTGAGGGGGGGGGTAAAGGAAGGAAAAGGGGGACTGGGATTGTTGAACTACAGTCACCATAATCCACTGCCCACAAAGACGCGACCTGCCCACGAGCGGGGCTTAATGGTTTGGAGCCCGGGCGGTGGGGACGAGGGAGAGCTGGGCTGAGATCACCCTCCATCGGGCCAGACTGTTCCATAGCCCAGGGCTGGATCTGGCGAGCCCCCCACCCCACCCATCCACACCCGCCTCCTTTAACTCTTCCCCAAGACAAGCGATGCGGGATGAAAAGAAGGACCGATTGAAATACATGCACATCATTATGAAACGCATAAGCGCGCAATCGTGCCTACCGCCCCTCTCCTATGGCCCCCAATTATTCGTACCTATTTCCTGTATTTATATTTACATTTATTCTTATGTCTATTATATTGTAAGCGTTTGACAAATCAAATCAATAGCAGCTGCGGGCGCCTGGTTGCAAAGCTACAACTCTCTCTCTCTCTCTCTCTCTGCCCCGGGGAGGGTGGTTTCTGCAAGTCCCCACGCCTCCAAAAAGCGCGTGGAAAGCTGGAGGAAGAAGGCGAGGCTCGTTCCGCCTCCCTCTCCAGCTCCGCCGCCCCAACCCATTGGCCGCTTTGACAGGCGGGCAAAGGGGGGAAAAAGTTTCAGATTACTCGGGAGAGCGAGCGGATCGGCTGAGCCGGCTGTCCCCGGTTGCGTCCGCTAATTGGCTTCAGGAGGCTGGAGCTCCCGGAGAGAGAGAGAGAAGCATCTCCACGGCCAGAAAAGGGGGAAGCCTCCCTGCCCGGCTGGTACTTGGCCCGCTCTCCGCGCTCCTGGGCAACCCAGCCGCCCCGCCACCCCCATCGAGGCTTGGCCAAAGGCGTGCGCGCCGGAAACTTGGCAGCTGAATCGCCGGAGCAGGAAGGCGAAGCCAGCGGTGGTTGTGTTATTTTTTTTTTTTTGCAGGGAAATAAAAGCTTTGACAGGCGGCCGGTGCCTGCCGGGCAAAAAAGGCAAACCGTGCCGAGGGGGTGTGGTGGGGAAGGAGCAGCCAGACCCCGGCTGCAAAGAAAAGAGGCGGAAGGAAATCAAAAGCTCCAAGCAACCAGCTCTCTCCCAAGGCTTCAACTTTTCCGGCATGGCTTTGGAGACCGTCTCGCTGCAAAGGTAAATATAAAAAAATAAAAAAAAAGGGGGAGGGGGAGAAGGAGTCTTTAAATTTCTTGGGTTTCGGTCTGTTTTGAAGGAGTGTGGCTGCAAAAGTCCCCCCCCCCCCCGCGCCAAGCTGCCTGCAAAATATATTCTCTAGAGCAGGGATTCCCAACCTGGGGTGCGAGAAGATATTCCAGGGGGTGCGAGAAAAGTCCAGGTAATTTTTATTTTTTTTTATTTTTTTATATTTATTTATTTATTTGTTTGTTTATTGTGCAATGGATTAACTTTATTTTCATTTTAGAGTTAAGTATCGTTATTTAGTGACCGTCACATACATAGCTGAAAAGATTCAATCCTACCATATATTTAACGCGTTCAGTAGTTCCTAAAGTCTAAATTTCAGGGGGTGCAAGGTTCGACTGAAATTTCTTTAGGGGTGCGGGGCGAAAAAAAGGTTGGGAACCACTGCTCTAGAGTATACCGTGTAAAGCCCCTGCTATAGATCTTTAGCAAAAATAATAATAAATGAAATCGTACTGGTTTTGGAGCAAAAAATAAATAAAAATAACATCCCAAAGGTGCTTCTCCTCTCTCCCCCCCCCCCCAGGCAACTTGGACTTTCTGGGGGGGGGGGGTTGTTTTTTGTTTTGGAGCTGTTTCGCTTCTCATCCGAGAAGCTTCTTCAGTTCTGAAATTAGTTTTCAGTATTTTTTTTGTTGGGAGTTCGAACTGTAAAAAGAACCGTCCCGTTTTTGTATTTAAAAAACGTTCATTTTTCTCCATGTTGCCTTGATCTTTGATCCTTTATATATGTTGGTTTAATTGTGTACGATAGTCCTGTGCTGAATGGAATTGGCACCTAGACAAGGTCATGTTGGACTGAGACTGTTGTTCCAGATGTTTTGCTTGTCCTGTTGTTATGGATTGTTTCTATTTCCTATCTCTTTACTGGACTTGTAGAAATACAGGCAATTGGCTTTTCCTCATAATAAATAAAAATGGTATTTTACACATAACAAAATAACAGAGTTGGGAGGGACCTTGGAGGTCTTCTAGTCCAACCCCTGCTTAGGCAGGAGACCGATACCCATTCCAGACAAGTCGCTGTCCAGTTTGTTCTTAAAAGCCTCCAGTGATGGAGCACTCACAACTTCTTAAGGCAAGACCTTCCACCACTTAATTGTTCTCACTGTCAGGAAAATTCACCTTAATTCTAGGTTACTCTAGGTAGAACTAATGTACGTTTGTACAAACCTAAATACAGAGTTTTATGTTTGGGGAAGAAGGAGCAAAGAATGCACATTCTTCTCCTTCTTTGCTTCTTTTTTTCACAAATGTACCTATAAGTCTTTTCTCCTTCGGGTTTAGATAGAAATAAATTATCTTTTAATTAAGCTGTGTTCAGTCCACATGTCTAAGAGTGAAGTGCAATTTATTATGATGTAACATTATACTGCAAACAGTAGGCAGCTAGGAACAAGTGTTTGCTCTATGAAATATTACTGTCTTGATCTTTCTTGTCAACTGTTTCTTCTCTAAATTGCCTTGAGGTTGTGATTATTTAACTCAGGACAATAGTTTCTTGTAGTTGAAATTGTAGTTGAAATTGAGAGTAAAAGTTTGTATAAAATAGAATGCAGTATAGTAAGCTATATAAAAAGATAGTTTTAAAAGATAGTTTACAAGTCTGTAAACGCATTAATAGTTGTTCGAAGTGTTGGCCTGTCTGAGTTTCCAAGCATATTTATTAGAACATGTTCCTTTGCCTTTTTTAAATATGACACATAAAGATTGTAATCTGAAAAAAGAAGAAAGTGATGTAATATTAATATTATTTGTTATATAATTTTTTTGAGCTTCTGAATATTAGGGTAAGAAAAAAAACATTAAAAATTGCCTGCATACCTTTCCTTTAGAGCAATAAGAAAAATTCAGGGATTGACCAACAAACCAGATTCTGCTTTGCAATAATCATATTCTCCCAAAACCTTGATTTTGACTGTATTAATTAGGTTGGTTGGTTTTTTTTAAATGAATAACTTTGGTTTGTGCAATCCTGACCAATGTAGACAAAATGCCTGTTTACTAGCCTTCATTTGAAAACTTATCTGAAAATATATGGAATAAGTTAGCTTTTCTGTGCTGAGAAATCTTCATTTACCCTTTTTTCCCCTTTTTGGTAGTGAAATGTTTAGCTTAGAGGTCAGTGTGGGAGTGCCATGTGTTCAAGGAGCAGTCTTCCAGTTTCGTTTTGTAAATGGATGTTTCTCTTAAAACTCTCTTAAATTACTTTTAGTTTATTATTAACTATTAACTTTGGCATTTACTACTATATATTTGAGCTGAGGGACAGTATGGTGCAAAATTATTCAGATTTCTGTCAGAAACCGATTGCTCTCCCAAATTTATCTGAATTCTCACAAACTATAGATCTGCCTCCTTTCAGATGAGGTTGATCTTGTAGGTCATGCCATCCCCTCACCATTGGTGGTTCTGGATGTTGAAGACCATCCATATCTGAAGCTTTTTAATATCTGCAGTGGAGGAATCTATGATCCAGTGTCAGGGGTCTCCAAATTTAGCAGATTTAAAACCTATGTATGTCAATTCCCAGAATTCCTCAATTGAAGCATGGACCTCAACTCCCTCGGCATTCTGGGAGTTGAAGTCCACACAAGTTGTCCAGTTTGGAGACTTCTGGCCTAGTGCCAGGACAGAAGTGTTTCAAAACATTCACCTAATGGAAAAATCTGTCCCACAGAAAACTAATATTCAGGGTTGATTTTTCTGATTTAATATTTTCTTTGGCATATTCCAACAGCTAATAAATTTAAATAAATAAAATTATGTACATTGTGCAAGGGAATTCTTTCATATTGCAGAAAATTTAATCACTCTGTTTGCAGATTGGAATAGTGCCTTCCTGAAATCCTCTAGAGGCTTATCGTTTATCTTAAGGAACTGATGAGCAAAGGAGCACGTTGTTATGACAAAACAGGCCCAGAAAGAGTTCAACATATGGTTTCTTCTCTTTTCTTCATCTGAGGAAAATATTCTTACTCTTATCAAACAAACCTGGCTTGGCTATAACACCAGTCATGCTTTGAAACTCATGATGGTAAACGTAGCATAATTGCTTTTATAATGCTAACAGATTAATGTGTATGAAAGGGAATGTTTGTTGTCATTATTATCAGTTAGGCCCAATGGTTAATCATTCATTAATACAATGCAAAGTATCATGTATTTATTAGATTTTTATCCTGCCTTTATTATTTTATAAGTCACTCAAGACAGCGAACATGAATAACATTCCTTTCTCATCCTTCTGTTTACCCTACAGTAACAACCTTGTGAGATGGATTGCTCTGAGAGAGTAACTGGCCCAAAGTCACCCAGCTAGCCTTGTTGCTTAAAACAAGATTAGAATTCACTCTCTCCTTGTTTCTAGGTCTGCACCTTAACCATCACACCAAACTGGCTCCCCAGTTTATTATTGCCTTGGATTTCCTAAAGGAAGCTTTGGTCTCAACCTCTTATGTCATGCTACAATCTTCCACTCCACACCTACACCCTTAAGACAGGGGTGTCAAACTCAATTTCATTGAGGGCCGCATCAGGGCTGTAGTTGATCTGGGGGGAGGGGCGGGGGGGCTTGGCCAGCTTGACGCCACTCACTGGGCATGGCCAACTAGGTGGGCATGGCCACTTTGATGCCAGTCCCCAAACTGCTGGCATGCTTTCTCTTTGCATTGGACCGAAGCCACGCTGGCCTGATATTTCCTCTTCACATTGGGTAGACCCGGCCAAAGCGACACAGGTAGACCAGGCTAAAGTGACGCGGGCCGGCCCCTTAACATTTTCTAGGGCAGCTCCGCCAGACCTTGAGTTATACACCCCTGCCTTAAGACATATCTAGTTAAAAGTGGTGTCTTTTCAGCCAATTCCATATGTCCTTTTCCATTGGTTGTTCAACATTTGAGGTATTTTCTTGCACCCCATCATCCTTCGCCAACATGCAAATACCCATGCTATTAGGGTTGGTGGAAGTTGCCATCCATGTATAGGCAGATGACTCACCGAGTCAGCTGAATTGGGGAAAGAAGTAGGATTAGATAGAGATGTGGTTGAAGACATGATCTGGTATAAGTTGCTAATGGAAAACATAAATGCAAGCTTGATAAGCTGCTACCTTCTGGATCACCACCATTCGATATTCCCTATCCACAGCAGATCAAAGCTTTCACATATACTGCAGGTGACCTCTCTTTCTCCTTTTTATGTGTGGGAGCCCAGAGTTGAGTACATATCTGAAATCTGCCTCAGTTCCCAAGTCTTTTTGAGGCAGAAAATACATAAAAATAGTAGCATATGCCCTGGCTTTCTTTCTTTCTTTCTTTCTTTCTTTCTTTCTTTCTTTCTTTCTTTCTTTCTTTCTTTCTTTCTTTCTTTCTTTCTTTCTTTCTTTCCTTCCTTCCTTCCTTCCTTCCTTCCTTTCCTTTCCTTTCCTTTCCTTTCCTTTCCTTTCCTTTCCTTTCCTTTCCTTTCCTTTCCTTCCTTCCTTCCTTCCTTCCTTCCTTTCTTTCTTTCTTTCTTTCTTTCTTTCTTTCTTTTTTTCTTTCTT